CTGTAAACCCTCCCCTCATTTTGATATTAGGAGTGTTTGTTTAGGAAAAGTTTATTGTGTGTTCGTATATGGATTTGGGATCTGAAACACATCCTAAGTCACTCTAAATGCATTTCTGCTTTCCATCTATGACTTTGTAGCTCAAAAAATAATGCAAATCTGAAGATCTAAGAAGAACAAATTGAACAGTCCAAAACAAAGTTTAAATACTCTAAAGAATCAAAATCCATTTTTTGCACACACATCCTCTTGACCCTAGCAAACACTACCACGAAGAAAATTGAAGAAAAAGAACCCTAAAAATATAGTTTTCTTTGGAGGGAGAATTGGGCTGATATCAGTTGTCTATTCGACGTACTATCAGATCTAGGGTTAGATGAGCTCAAAATCTTAGTCTTCTTTTGAAGTTGTTCATCCAGTGCTTTAAGTCTATCCCCAAAACATGGGGTCAAAAATATTATGTTAAGAGGACAGCATACTTAAGCGATGGGCTATACAAAGTACTATATGTTTCATGTATGTATGTATATATGTATGTATGCATTGCGTGTGCATATCACTATCTTATCAATTTATTAGATTTGACTGCCAGTAGAACTTAACCAGTTTGCTTCATAAATCAAATCATTACTTCACACATAAGATAATGTAATACACACTTGTTCCCAACTTGGCTCTGCATCACCTTGGCACCATGATCCAGTTAACATATAGAAAACGATCAGAAAAATAAAATAAAAGAAATTGCAGAAGCCTCACCACCAATGGGAAGCCATATGAGACGGGTGGGAGCCACACACATCCATATGAAGACCCCTTGCAACACCTTCCATTGGTGCTAGCTCAAAAAAAATGAAGAATATAGAGGTCATGCACGACTGGGGAAAGGACGTGGCTGAATTTGCAATGAATTGATCAAGGTTGACCATAGTGTCCTTGGACATCCTTATACTCATATATTAGTTTGTTATGCAAATGACCACGGCAAATATTCGATATGAATACAAAATGAATTAAGACCAACATAAATGTCTTATTTAGAAGTCTGTCCCTGCATGTCATATCCTTAATATGCCCCCTCAAGTTGTACATCGGTCACTCCCAAAAAAAAAAAAGTCGTATATCGGCACTCATGGACAGCTTGCCTTTCAGAAGTTTACAACCATTTCTGTCTTCAATTTTCTCTGTCATAACGTGTTGATCTATCTAAATATGTTTGGTCTAGCACCATATTCATGGAAATGGCTATGGCACGTTGATTATCA